GTCGAGAGGCGCTTTTCCGGATATAGATCCGATGGAGGGGAATCTAACAAAGGAGTTCTATCCTCTGCCCTGACTACTCAGATAATAGTGGCTTTTCCAGAGATACGTCCAGAATGCTTCTCTGTAAACCAAATTTTCGCAAACTTATTGCCATACAAGACATTTCTTGTATTTTTGTCCTTCGAGTTCCTTGTTGGTCGATAATAAGTCGTTCAGAGATATTTCGGTGTGGAACCTCGCCGGGTGTCAGCAAAACTCCTAATCATTAAGCACTGCCGGCATCAGACGGCAACGTGAAACCTTATCTTTCGGCAGGTGGACAGGTAGGCTGCAGGTGGACAGGTGTCAATCAAACATTTCGCTGACGTTTCCTCCTGTTACACGTCTAACTCTTGAGGTCGAAACGTTTTTTTAAGTGCAAAGAAGGTTCATCATGGGGTCTGCGATAATTTGGCTGCCTTGTGACGCAAGCTTAAAAGGCTTTGCAGCAGATACGGTCGCTCGTCTGTCACAAGAGCGTCATTTGGGTGACGTCTGCGGTAAATTCGTGCATCCGTGTATGCACTTGAGCGTAAATCGTAGTGCTATGTGGAGGAAGACAGGTTTGATTTTTCCATCGCGTCTACAATTACAGTCGGTTCCAATCATGTTGCATGGCGATCGCTGCCGACAGGCCGAGTTTCAGCGCCAAGCGCACCTCCTTTACCGTTCTGTAACTGCTTGAACAAACCTGATTGTCATGATTCGTAAATCGGTTGCAAAACTGACCGGTACCAAAACTTCGGCTTCTGAACTGTACGAGCCAACAAGGGACCAAACTTGCAACCTCGAGCGCAGTCGAACAGTGGGTATCATATGTTTCGTCACGCCTTCTCGTAGAGCAATTCTTTCGTCAGGCGGGTGGCACCCGTTCTGTCGAAGGGGAGCTCCGAGTGAGCCGTAGAGGCGCCAAGGCATTCCGACGGCCGAGGACATGTTCTGCCATCCCTGATACTTTCTCTGTGCTTGACTTTTACTTGGTGATTAGGGAGAAATCCTCTGTCTCAAACGGACGCGCTTCCTTTTACTTAGCAGAAGGCATTCTTTAGCGTTCGCACCATTACGCATATCTGATAATAATGCTCATTGTTTCCGGTATGTATAATCTATTGCAGCAGCATAGCACTCTCTATGCATCTAACCATAAAAATATATTTTGGAATTATGGCTCTTATGACAAAGTGGACCATAGATTGAGAAGTTGCGTGGTTTGGTAGTACGCAGTTATAAGTTTACATAAGAGCCACGCGGAATAAAACGCGTCATTAAACAGATTTTTAACAAAGCCTTTACCTGAACGTTCCGAGCAGTATTTTTCATGCGCTCTTCAGCCAAACCTCTAAGCGCTTGTCCGGATAAGTACTGCTACTCTCCATCTGATAGTTAGCTTGCTGTCAGTTCAGTTCAGACATGGCCAGAAATACGTTCACGCAGACTCAGTGCTGAACGAAAACCTACAAATGTTCATCGCTGCTATATCATCGATGCTTTATGAATGATAAAAAGGATATCCATAACCCAAACTAACATAATGTTTAGATGTACCTCAGGTTTACGGGATTAATTACGCTGATTGAAACTGCTCAGCTATTTAACGGTGTTTGATTTCTTTATAACAAGAGATTGCGCCGTATACTAGAGGGTGATCCCTCGAGCAACGTCAGCGAATCGCCTTCATTTAAACTGAACTCTTTAGCCGTCTGGTTCAGGGTTCTTGAATGATATCCGCGGGAAATTTAAATGCATACCACCGTGCTGAGGTGCTTTACTTTAGTTGTTGATCCCCTTCAACAGCATAAACTATGAAATTTGACTTACAGATGACAAGCACCAAGCAAATGAATTAATTCTCATAGGTTTTTAGTTTTACTCTATATTATGTCAATGTTCAGTATCTTTTATTCGACTTGTCCTCATTATGGCTGCACAAGGAATGCAAGCCGATGCTTCTCCATTTGTTTATTTGTCACTTCCTGTCTCCACCTCTGACAGGCTAATTTGACCATCGAATCATCACCGCGTGTTCTTGGACAACCGACTCATATAGTTTGTCCAACGGAACCCAATTAGTAATTCTTGACTGCAAGCGGTTACCTCTCAGACGAGCAACATTTGGCCGGCCCATTTTCTCTTTGCGACATAGAATGAAGAACCCACGTCTGTTAATCTTGTCAGTTATTAAAGTTTTGATAACAGGCTAGTAAGATAAAAATTTATTTTCACTCCATGGTTCGAAATTGAGGTGGCAAAAACCGTTATTCAAGTCATATAGCGAATATGGTTATACGTCTGTCACGGAATGCTGCTGGTATGTCTCAAATGAATCTAACAGAGTTTTGGGTGTCTGGCCAGTTGAGATGGTGTCTCAAATTTATATTGGATAACTTTCGCCAGTCTGTTCCTCACCTCAGTAGCTGCGCCTCCAGAAGGTAAGCCCAGGTTTCGCATTGCACCCCCACCCAATGGTTAATTAATAGTTTTCGGACAAGAAATGTTTTGAACACATCTCCATTTCATTTTTAGACCGTTTTATCAAATTAGAGCAGCCACATGTCCTTGATTCTTCTATTAGAATTGTAAGACAATTAGTCGTGAGCCCTTGCTTCACTGAACTCGGTTATGTGATCGCGCGTGGAACATTTTTCATATACAGTACTTTTTGAAGGACTCTGGAAGAATTGCTGAGGAAGACCAGACAAGTGAGTTAAGTTGTAGAGATCATGACTTCTTTCGAGTGGCGAGGCGATCAGCAATAACCTAGAAATCGCATTAATTGTAGTTAGTACGAACGACATTCTGCGAAAATGTCATTCTTACCTTACCTAGTGTCATGACTACCTCTCAGGGCAAGAGGTATTTTCAGACTTTACATGATCACCGTGAATACGACTGCTCTCAAGATTGTCGCATAACTTTGAAATGTTCTTCAAATTATTTCCTCAGTATGAAGTACCAGGCATCTGTAACTCGTAGAAGGTTCTTGTTCGAGATGTATCGCTCTACGCTGCTCGATTCACAAGCAACGGTATCTTCAACCGTTTCTGCAAGTTTCTTGTTTTCTTGTCGATAATTCCTCTGGTCCTGGTGTAGTCTGTCGGTTTGCATTAAAATCATGTGCTTGAGAATTCTTGCATATCTACAGGAACATCTTCAGTCGTCCTGTTTACCTGAGGATAGTTGCTGATTCTTGAAAACTTGCCAGAACTGTCTTTCTGCAGAAGAATGAGTATAATTCAACAAGCCTAAGTAAACTTTTGGGTATATTCATCTCCTCCATTCTTTTAAAATCCTTCGAATTTCTTGATTGGAGACTGCAATACTCTCACTGCCATTACGAGAAAGACTTAGATACATTAGAAGCAGTTGCCAGTTATGTTAACCATGCAGCGTAACTATAAACAAGGGAAAATCTTTGTCGATAACGTTATTCTTGACTTAGTTCTGTATTAATATGTTCTCATGAACTGACTCATGAATAAACTGGCTCAAAATAAATCATATAGATGCTACTTCACGGCCTTGACGACTACCTTGCCAACCAAAAACATGTTGTGGGATCTCATAGATCCAATCCTCAAAATCATCACTCACGTGTGCTACAAGAAGACTTACGATTTCTTATTCTCTTCATCATCTACAACGACAGTCTCCGGTTCATCTCCAAATCATGTTTTTTTTTCAAATATGTAGACGATACGACATTTGCTACAATCGTAGCCTGCCTCTCCCCACTGTTCAATCACCTACCTGTCATACTGTTCAGTTTATTCCAAAGTTTGTCCAACGTGCACTGCCTGGCAGGACGAAGTACGATTAGGCTGGCTTACTCTGCGCCAGCCGCTTCGGAGGCCGCGAAAGTCGGTCGTGAACCCTGAAACGGCCGGCCAACTAGGATCTGGTGGATTATTATGAAATACTTTCTGGTACTCACACCAAACTAATGTTTGGAAGTGGCTGCCACTGTTCAACCGGTCGGCAAATGAATTTTCGACGTTGAATGCAATAGCGCCTTCTGATTCACAAGTAGGTATCTGCTCACAATGGAGTAACATAACTACTCTACCTCACTCTGCTCCAAGGAGGCAGGGTATACAAGGACAGGCAGCAAATGAATATGAACTCAAACTACTGCAAGAGTGTCTCGGCCCTTGGCTCGCCAAACCGGTCCCCCAAGGACATTTCTCTGATTGACGCATGGTCCCCCGCCGATTAGGAATGCTAATGATACGTTGCTGCAGTTTAATCCTGGAAAGTGACAGGATGTCTCGCGGTCGATATAAATCAAGAAATGTATTGGTCCAAATATTTGAAGCTGACTAGTGATAAAACGTCGATGACCCCTTACACTATTTTGCTCTTATTCGTCTGAGGCAAGTGAGAGCTCCAAATCCACTCAGCACCTTTTGATTAAATCGCTTATTCTGTTCATTTTACGTATTCCTCCTCAATCTTCTTTCCTAGACTTCTCAAAACTGATTTTTGTATTCTGCTTACAACCCACATGGATGCTTGGATTAGGAAATTCTGGAAGGAACAAAGCATCCTGAAAATTCGCCTGCGCTTGGACTAGGTGTTCCCTCAAACGGCAGCGATTCACTTCATCCAGGCCTCTTGTCGGTTATACCTCTATATCCTAATGCAAGATCAGAAATAGTAAACGCATATTGTGGAGTAGAACTGTGACGTAAGCCAGTCGTTTCTGTCTTAGCTCGCATCTTGAAGAAGGCATGCCGCTTGCTGATAGATGGTGTAAAAAACTTCTTAATCTGCCTGCAACTTAACGAGTTCTTATGCTTCGTCTTTTAATGTTGAATGGTGTGCCCATCTTCCGCATATTCAAATCATCAAATTCGTTCTTTCAGTCATGATCATCTTCACCGCTACCAAAATTCATTAATGCAGGTCTCAAGAATGCTACAGTTACTGTTATTATGACGATGCGTTTCATTAAACTGTTTCTTGCTCTTTCACCCATTTGGTGTTCAAGCCTATAATCTTGACCAAATCATAAAATTGCAAAGAATTGCAAAGTTTTGAATATATGAAATACCTAAAAGGCGGGAGAGCGATGAAACCAAAAGAATTGCGCTAAGCACTGTCGTTGTTCAAAGGCCAACGGTCGTGGGATATTATTTATGACATGGTGACCTGTAAGGGAGATTGGTGATCAGACATGTTTTGAAAGTTTGCCACTTGCCCGGTCCTACGACTATGGGATCTGCCACGGCCAGCGTATGTTTGTTTCTGATGGTCGTAGTCGTTGCGAACAACAGGTCTGGTAGGCAGGTCTACGACCTCTTTACTCCGGCCTTAATTGCGGTTGCGGGGCGAAACAACCGTTAAGCAAAGCGGTCGGTCGTCCGTGGTTCAGACAGCGTTGGTCGTTCGATTGATGACATGCGCGTTGAGACGTTGCCCATCTGACAGTTGTGCTGTTCTGGCGACGGCCGGGGTCCGGTGTGAGAGGTCATTTGGACAGCGCTGTTGACTTTGCGTAGTCCTTGAACCCAGAACTGTCGGTGGTGAACAAAGAACGCTTTCCAGTTTCTATTTGGCAGTGCCTCCTCCGACGCTTCGACAATCGTCTTCGCGAGCGAACGTCGCGTTTCTGGTGGCCAACGATTGTAGAATCAAAAGGTAAAGGTATGTTAAATGATTTTCAAAACTTCATCCAATATTTCGAATCTGATACTCAGGATCATGAGTCTGCATTGACATTCAGTAATACGACGGAGTAACTACAAATTTGGCAGAATCTGCATTTGACGCTACACGCAACGTCAGCATGTTGCTGAGTCATCGTCATCTAGAACTATCTGAGCTTGAGCAACAGAGTTACGCAGGCTTATGATGTTCGATTATTATGAAATGTGTTTTAGATTAATATTACGCAATGTCCCCTGCTGCGATGGCAAAGGTATTAGTTATCATCGCTA